TGGGTGTGGTGGGGTATCCGGGTTTATTTTTCACCTCTCCAGGACATTACAGGTGCAAAAAAACATGATAGCTGCAAATTAAATGATGCTGTGGGTTAGGGAAGGATGTACTTTTTGTTGTACACTCATGCAACGCAGCATTTCTAAGACTGGCAGCTCATCTTGCCAACTGATTGGAATTATGAATTCTGTTGTATAATACACTCTGAACTTTCAAAACCCTGCAATGTGCCCTGTTCTTCACCACTACAATACTGCCCCCCCCCCATTTCAGTTCTTCACTATTTCACTGCTGCCTCCCTCCAACATCCATTACACATTTGTATTTCAGTGCTGCTCAATATAAATGCCCAAGTGTTTGTCCTGTGTGTGGGCTAGCCACACATTGTGCCCATTAGCAGTTGGGCAAGATCTCCCCTTCAGTAACAGCAGTCTCCAGTGCCATGCAATACGTATATAGTACAGTGGGTTCATTCCTGAAGCTATCCGACATCTCGCACACGCAGTCGTGCCTCAGTAAGACATAGTTCCCAGTTACAACTTTAATTCAGCCTGCTACAGTACTAGTTGTGTATGATGTCCCCAACAGTAACAACAGTCTCCAGCCAGAGGCACAGTCAGGCACCAGCCATGTTGGTTCTGTGTGTTTGTGGCAGATACAAACAGCTCCATTAACAGTTGGGTCACAAAAGTGCCTATTCTCAGCATTATCAATACCTACCACTACAGCAACATACATGGCTGTGAGATGGGGCAACTCATGCAAAACAAAATTATATTTCATAGCTATATATAAGTATATAAATTCTGCTGAGATTAATTACAATCTGCAAGTGCTAGTGCTTTAAGGAGTAGCAGGCCTCTAAGGGTTAGTAACGTACATGCAACCAGCCCTAGTCGCGCCATGTGCCTGCAAAAAGCTAGACTAAGTCTGCTCTGCTACAGGTACAGATACTATCGTGGTCATCTTGTTACACACAGACTGCAATGCGAGCAATTTTATGATCCCCTCTAAGAATAAGTAAGAAATGATAGTGAGCCTTAGGTTGAAAGCCATGTATGACTTTAATTATAATGATAGTCGTCTTACTAACAATTTCCATTCACAGTAATGATAGAAAATGATAAATAATGGAGTAAGAGTCCGACGTATATGTAATGTCTTTTCCCTCTGCAGCCCGCCTCCCCCCGCGGGTGCCAATGGTTCGCGCCATCTCCTTGACGACAGCGTTCTGGAAGAGTCTCCTGTGGCGTCCATCGAGGGTTCTGTTAACGGCATCTCTCTAGGTCAGTAATTACTGATAACTGTTAACCTTCAGCATGCTAAGGTAGTGTTTAGCACTGAGTTTGTACTTGTTATGTATTACTGGCAGCAGGGAGAGGGTTAACGGCATCTCTCTAGGTCAGTTCTGTTTGTTAATCTTCTGCCGTTTCGCACAGAGTCTGTACTTGTTATGGGGTGAGGCAGCAGGGAGAGGGTTAACTTAGCATGCTAAGGTTGCCATTTGGCACCGAGTTTGTACTAGTCTTGTTATGGGGTGAGGCAGCAGGGAGAGGGTTACTTAATGGCATCTCAGCACTGGCTGAAGGATAAAACAGCCTCAAACATGTTTGTGTGGTAGGAGTGAGATTGTGTCTGTAGGATCCGGGAAGGTAGCTGAGGAGCTACTGAAACATCGGCTGGGGGGGAGGTGTTAGGGGGGGGTTAGGGGGTTGTGTCATGAGAAGTTCAGCCTGATTTTCTCGCCTTCTATCCTGGATCCTTGGTTCTGCCTAGTTTCTGCTCATCCAGAGTTCTGCTCATCTGATGGTCGCTCATCCAGAGTGCTGAACTTTAACTCACTTGTGTTAAACATTGTCTCTTTTATGATAATCTCACTGCATAACCACCTACATTGCATGTACCCCCCTCCCCCGTTTCTCCACTCACATTTCAGTACAACATCAGGACTGACCGAACGGGACTGAAACAGGAACATGTCACTCTGTTGTTTAACCTGTTCACACCGGGACTTGTGAAGTAACATCAAATAACATTACTTATTGCCAAACAACAGTTTTTAAAGTTCTAATGTTGTGGAGCTAATGTTTGCTAAAGAGTTATAGTGTCATGCCAACGGTTTCATGGCAACCGTAGTGACACTGGTGTGTTGCCATGGCACCCGTTGTCATGACAGCCGTTGTCATGGTAGCCGTAGTGATTGAGGTATGTTGCCATGGTGACCGTTGCCATGGCGCCCGTAGTGACAGTAGTTTGTTCCCCTGCAGCGGTGCGGCGGAGGCCAGTCCGGGCCGCCTCTCCCCCCCTGCCGCATGCCCGGCACAGGAGACCCCCCCGCCCCCGCTCACAGTCCTGCGGGGCCTCCCCCCTCCTGGGTACCCCCCCAGACGGGTACTCCCCTCCTGAGTACCCCCCTCCCGGCTACCCCCCTCCCGGCTACCCCTACCTGTTCCCGCGGACGGCGCGGCGGCTGACCTCGCCCTGTCTCTGGTGCCTCCCCGGCTTCCCGTACCACCACAGAGGTTCGTTAGTGCAAAACAACTTCCCATCAACTAATCAGCAATTAAACAGCACTGTTAATCATTTTCCTGCACGGATTATCAGTGAGTGATCTGATTTCTGAATCAAAATTAAATCTAATCAACAATCACTTTGCTAATTGTGTTGATGCACGTTTTCATCTACAATAATCAGATTCTGAATTGCAAAATTTTTAAATCATAATTTGAATCTGATGATTGATTAAAAATCTCTTGATTGTGTTGCTGCACGTTTGTGATCAGGTTTTGTGAAGTTTTTGAGTGAAATTTTCATCCTTTCTGACTGCTAATCCTGAGTAATTATTTCTCTGCCTCTCTCTGTGCACTCGTGTCGTGTGTTGGCATCAGGTTAGTTCTGTCTTCATTTCTGCAGGGCAGCAAAATACCATGGGCTGTAGCTTAATTTAAACATTTATTTAGTAACAGTTGTGTTAGCTTAAAATGGTTTTAGTGCACTTGATTGTGTCCAGTTGGATGGAAGTACCAGCTAATTAAATTTGTTTGTCTGAGTACTAATGCAGTTGAATATAATTGCCATGCGCTGGTAACATGTAACATGTTTCCAGCATTATAATAAAACTTGCTTCAGCATGCAGCTGTAGAGTTAGGCAGATTCTGTCACTGCAGCCATCTCTCTTGACTGGAGAGTTGTTTAGTTAGACGGAAGGTCTCTCTGGGCCAGAGTATGGAGTAGTGGAGGTAGGCAGATTTGAGATGCAGAAGTGAAGCTTTGGCAGACTGGAGTCATGTAGCTGATGTCCCACTGACTTCCTCACTACACAAGACAGGGACTACCGACAATAGCTCAGACCTGAGGGCAACTCTGGTCACTGTACAGTTGGAATTTAACATTGGATTCCCTCAACAACAAGGAAGTATTATAATCGTGCTTTGATATTATAACCTACATAAACTAAAGAATCTTTAGTAAAGATGATATTCCTCAGACTCTTCAAATGGACTGAACTTTTTAATCCACATCCAGTAATATTCCAAATGCAAGGCTACCTGTACGGTCTGAAGTTTTTATGACTTTACAGAGTCTGAGTTCAGTGTGACCAGAGTTCCTGACTGCTTACTGCTCACTGTGTCCCCTACACATGCACTAAATGATTAAATGCACTAACAATGTAACACACATGAGTACACTAAGAAAGTCTACACACGTGCTAACACACTTACAAATTGTACACACACACACACACACACTAATGCACTTACAAAGACCTGCACTGTCATGCACTATAAAGACCTGCAGACATGCACTAATTATAATTGTGTACATGCACTAACATTGTCCAGTCACTGTGGTGTGAGCAGGTTACTCTCATTGTGCCACGCTGTGGGGGGTAACCATGATGTAAAGTTGGGACGAGGCGGTTTGTGTAGGTTCGTCACAGCTGGAGGATGTACATGGGGTTTGAGTGGGTTTGTGACAGCCAGAGGATGTCCATGGGGTTTGTGACAGCTGGAGGATGTGCATGGGGTTTTCTGTTGTGTTTAACATAAGTCTAACTTGACATTGCAGGAAGCAGCGAAGGGTCAGAGGTCAGCGATGAGCAAGAAATCTTCAACCCGGACAGGTGGGTCACCTGGAGGATGTGTGTGGGGTTTGTGAGTTGGAATGTACGACATTTTTCATGACTGGAGGATGTGCATAGAGTTTGTGAGTTGGGCTGTGCATGTGTTTTTCAGGACTTAAGGATGTGTACTGGTCATAAAGCTGCCAGACAGCACATGTTTCTTGTGAAAATATACATGTAAACGTTTCCTACTCCTTTTCATCTGTTGCTATGGTAACAGTTGACCACACCTTCCCTCCTCCTCCCCATCTGTTGCTATGGTTACCAGTTGATCTCACCTCCCTCCTCCCCATCTGTTGCTATGGTGACCAGTTGATCACACCTTCCCTCCTCCCCATCTGTTGCTATGGTGACCAGTTGATCACACCTTCCCTCCTCCTCTGCAGCTCGTACTGTGAGAGTCCTGAGTCCGACACGCCCGGAGACGTGGCAGCTTCTCAGTTCCCTATACAAGGTGGGTATGGTAGCGGCTCCCTCTAGCACCTGCAGGTAGTACTGCAGTTTCGTACAGCACACAGAGTAGCCGCTTCCTCTGTCACCTGTAACTAGTACTGCAGGAGATCTGATTATTTTTCATTTAAAGTCTTGAGAAGAGCGGAATTTAAAGCAGGCATTTTGCAGTTGGAGAAGGAAAAAATGGGATTTAGTCTTGTTGCATATAGAATTGAAAATTTCTATTTTATGTGTATTTTTCTACATACACTGTATTTCCGTGGCTGCAGATATGAATATTGTAATTTGACCCTTCCCCAGGGAGACGTAAGATGATACTGATGATGTAAATGTTGTAATTTGACCCTTTCGCAGGGTTCTTGAGACATAGGACGATACTGCAGATGTAAATGTTGTAATTTGACCCTTCCCCAGGGTTCTTGAGACGAAAGACGATACTGAAGAACGGCAGCAAGCCTCGCGTGGCGCCGTGGACGCGGTACTGGGTGGCTCTCTGGGGGACTTCGCTGATCTACTACGCAGCTAAATCACTGCGGGGGCAGGACAGGCATCATGTAAGTAAACCCCATGCATACCCTCAGGACAGGCACCATGTAAGTAATCCTGTAAACCCCATGCATACCCTCACGACCTCATTGAAATACCCTTTGGTTTTCTCTGTGTGTGTATGTGTGTGTGTGTACATGTAAGTATGTGTGTGTGTGAATGTGTGCGAGTGTGTGTGTGTGTGTGTGTGCATGTGTGTGTGTCTGTGTGTGTGTAAGCATGTCTGTGTGTGTGTGTGTGTGTGTGTGTGTGTGAGCATGTGTGTGTGTGTGAGCATGTGTGTGTGTGTGTGTGTGTGTGTGTGTGTGTGTGTGTGTGTGTGTGTGAGCATGTGTGCGTGTGTGTGTGTGTGTGTGTGTGTGTGAGTGTGTGTCTGTGTGTGTGTGTAAGCATGTGTGTGTGTGGGTAAGCATGTGTGTGTGTGAGCATGTGTGTGTTTGTGTGTGTGTGTTAGTGTGTTAGTTTATAACCTGTCTGCTGTATTTCTGCAGTTTAAGTCCACCCCAGGAAAGATTGTGTCTGTTGTCGGCTGGATGGTGATCCGGGGAGACAATCCGGTCCAGCCCGACATTTTCCTCCTCACAGACTCCGACAAAGGTGAGAAATTACACACACCTTCTCTTGTCTCTGATGTGCCAGCCCTGTTCTTGCCGATTGCCCAGTGAACTGTGCCAATCCTGATTGGCAATCCTGTCCTTGGTGCTGATTTTGCAGCAAACTGTGTCCTTAATACTGATTGGCCTGCAAACTGTTATCTTGAGGTTAAATAGCCAGCTCTGTCCTTGGTGCTGATTGGGCAGCCAACTGTATTCTTGATGCAGATTGGCCAGCTCTGTCCTTGGTGCTGATTGGCCAGCTCTGTCCTTGGTGCTGATTTGCCAGCAAACTGTATTCTTGATGCTGATAGGCCAGTTCTGTCCTTGGTGCTGATTGGCCAGCTCTGTCCTTGGTGCTGATTTGCCAGCAAACTGTATTCTTGATGCTGATAGGCCAGTTCTGTCCTTGGTGCTGATTGGCCTGTGAACTGTTCCTTCAACTCCCTATTTTGACTCAATTTTGATGTAATTCCTACACATTCTAGATGGAGAGCTTAGCCTGGGTACCATCCTACTTGTATGCCGGGGCTCCCACACTCGCTTCCCTAAGAAGTAGTCTGGAAACGCTTGTATCTATTTGGCTTGGTGATGATATCACATAATGAGGTAGGCCACATGGGGAGGGCTGGGCGGAGCCTCTTCCACTAGTAGATGACCCATCAGTACAAAGTCCACGTTGCCATGTGCTGTTTTGGTAAGGGCAAAAAGTTGCTGCATATGTATGACAAGTGCAGCCACAAATTTACCTTGAGTACAACAATTTCTTGTAGTTTTCTTTAAGCAAAATGTTCTTTGTGGCTCTATATAGTAGAGGGGATTCATTCCTCAAGCTACCGACATCTTGCACACGCAGTCGTCCCTCAGTAAGACATCTGGAGCCGCATAGTTCCCGTTTAGAACTTTTATTCAGCCTGTTCTTTGTGGCTCTGTTACTTCAAATGTTAGCAAAATCATGACAACAGTGTCTCTCAATGGCTACTCCACTCCATCCAAGATAAATAAACAACTCCTTCCTTGGTCAGTGATACCTGCTGGGCAGGCAGGAGATAAGCATCACCACATACTGAGAAGGACGTTAGGCTAATGAACAAGACAGAAGGGACCAATCAGCACACTCGGGCAAAATCTGACCGAGCCAGACGGTTCAGATCTAACCATTTCCAGACTACTTCTTAGGGAAGCGAGTGTGGGAGCCCCGGCATACAAGTAGGATGGTACCCAGGCTATGGAGAGCTGACTGTTTTGTACAAATTTTCAGGAAATACATATGGAGCTGACTGTCTTTTCTCTGTATTTTCTAGGAAACACGTACAAGTTCCAGGCAGGAAGCCAGCTGAATGCCCACCTGTGGTACCAGCACCTGGGCGAGGCTACCAAAGGGGCGCAGAAACAGGGGCCAACAAACCTCATGTCATTCGAATGACCACAGATGGACTACGCGTATCGTTCCAACGACCATAAAAGGACTACGCGTGTCATTCAAATGACCACAGATGGACTACGCGTGTCGTTTTTATGACCAAAGACGAACCACGCGTCGTTCAAATGACCCCGGATGGACTTGAAACTTGAAACTACTTGTGTCGTTTGAATGACCCCGGATGGACTAACTAAAGCCAAGGCTGCTGCAACTTTAACCGACTCGCTGGTGCTATAGAGGGACTTTAACATCTCAGAATGCTGCAATACGAAATGCTCCTGTACTGATGTGCAATGGTGCATAACAGAACCTACGGTGCAATTCAGCTGGTCAGTGTTGTATTGTACAGCTATGCACTGTGTAAGGAAACACTGCCAGTAAATACTACATACTAAAGTACTACTGGCCATTCATGTGTGGGGAAACAGGAAACACCACAGACTTCAGTACTACTGGCCATTCATGTGTGGGGAAACAGGAAACACCACAGTCTTCAGTACTACTGGCCATTCATGTGTGGGGAAACACCACAGACTTCAGTACTACTGACCATTCATGTGTGGGGAAACAGGAAACACCACAGTCTTCAGTACTACTGGCCATTCATGTGTGGGGGAAACCCCACAGTCTTCAGTACTACTGGCCATTCATGTGTGGGGAAACACCACAGACTTCAGTACTACTGGCCATTCATGTGTGGAGAAACACCACAGACTTCAGTACTACTGGCCATTCATGTGTGGGGAAACAGGAAACACCACAGACTTCAGTACTACTGGCCATTCATGTGTGGGGAAACAGGAAACACCACAGACTTCAGTACTACTGGCCATTCATGTGTGGAGAAACACCACAGACTTCAGTACTACTGGCCATTCATGTGTGGGGAAACACCACAGTCTTCAGTACTACTGGCCATTCATGTGTGGGGAAACAGGAAACACCACAGTCTTCAGTACTACTGGCCATTCATGTGTGGAGAAACAGGAAACACCACAGACTTCAGTACTACTGGCCATTCATGTGTGGAGAAACAGGAAACACCACAGTCTTCAGTACTACTGGCCATTCATGTGTGGGGGAAACACCACAGACTTCAGTACTACTGGCCATTCATGTGTGGGGAAACAGGAAACACCACAGTCTTCAGTACTACTGGCCATTCATGTGTTCTCAAGACTTACCCTACTACAGTAACTAATCCTTAATGACAAGGGTGTGCGATGTTTGCTTGAAATGCCCCTAAGAGAATGTCCATATTTGTGGAGAACAGTGCAAAGCTGACCCAACAAACTCCTCAAAACAACTTTTAAAGGTGTAAGCTTTAAGATTACTTTTACATGATTTTAAGAGCCACTCGAAACTGACTGAAGCAATGAGCTGCTCTTAAGAAGTGACTCAATGATTGTGCGTTTGCTGTGAAAGATTTGAGAAGACTCAAGAATAATGTGGAAAGTTTGAAACCTGAGAGGTTGATTTCTGGGCCTTCTCTGGTTTGCCATGTTTTCTGACTGCCATAATCGTAGCTATTTGGTGAACAGGACTAGCCTGTAGCTGTGAACTCATGCAATGGGATAAGGCAGTACAGTTAGTTTGTTTCTTTTCTTGCTTTAATGATGTGTAGCTTGTGTGAAGCATTTCAGACCTGGTCTGTTTGCTGCACTTAGACTGTTCCCAGCTAAGCGAACGCCGGTGCTACTTTTATTAAGGCACAATAACTGCACAGTTGTAGGTGTTGGGGAACACGATTTACTCACACTTCCTTCTGCTACAATGGAGGATAACTCAAATATGTGGAAATTTTGGTTGGCTTGTATGCCCATATTTGTACTGCATGACCATATTTGTACTGTATGACCATATTAGTACTGTATGCCCATATTTGTACTGTATGCCCATATTTGTACTTTACGATTATATTTGTACTGTATGCACATATTTGTACTGTATGCCCATATTTGTACTGTATGACCATATTTGTACTGTATGACTATATTTGTACTGTATGGCCATATTTGTACTGTATTCCCATATTTGTACTGTATGGCCATATTTGTACTTTACGACCATATTTGTACTGCATGACCATAAATGTACCTGTGAATTTTGTACAAAGTTGTTTTAGCTTGCAGAAGACCGTGGTTAGCAGTGTTAGCTCTGAAACTGACGACAAACCAGCCTTTCTGTAGTCCTGTGTTGCTGTGCTTCTCACCCTGCTCTGAGTCATGGGTTTTAGACTTTATATTTCAGGAAGTGTGTAGTAAAATAATTGTCTGTAAGCCGAGCTAGCTAAAGCTAAACCATGCGAACTGATGCTCTCCTATGTACAGTACTGGTGAAGGTTCTGTAGTCACTATAGTTTCACATTCACTGAATTTTTGTGTGTTGTATTTTAATTCAATTCAATTCAAATTAACTTATTCTGCTACTCAGAGACCTTCAGTATTTAGGAGGTTTTTCTTATTATATATAACTAAATCTGGTAGCTTGTATCTGGTGCATTGTGGGTACATCATGAGGATTGTGGGTAAAGTTTTCACAGTCAAAGAAAGGAGGGGGACAACCCTCATAACCACCTCATGTGTCAAGTATTCGTTTCTTTATCATGAAAGTTCATCTGTGTTGGTAGTTACTCGTTTAGAGTTTAAACTTTAAAACTCTAGATCCAACACACTTTGCTGATGTCACACTTCAAAGAAGCCACTTGACAAGCCTTACTGGGTCAGTCTACTGAGGAAGACCAGGGTGAAAGCTCTAGGTGAGAGAACTTTCTGTGTTATATCTAAAGTTTTAACTTTAAACATGTTTGTTTGTTTTATTCACATTTTGCTTGTCAGACAGGGATTTCAGACTCAAGCAGACCTAGCTATAGTAGGAGTATAATAAGATTCTACAAAATACAGACCAGATTCAGGTTTAGTTTATTCATCTCAAAAATCTCTAGCCACTTTCAACAGACAATAAAGTAACTATTATGATATATCAAATTTAAAGGCAACAATGGCAAAGTCAAGTCGAATACATGGATGTCATCACACTTGCACTTCTTATTACTGTCCTGACTCCTGTTGAGACACAGCAACTATCCTGTAAACCTGTCCAAAACCAAGCCTAATATTATCATATAAGGCTACATCATCTACATGTACAATTTGCACTGTCCTGCATTTGTCCCAATTCTGCTGCAGTACCAGACACAGCCAGCAGGTGTCCTGTCGCTGCAGTACCAGGCAGAGTCAGCAGGTGTCCTGCAGCTGCAATACCTGACACAGTCAATAGGTGTCAGAAGTCGGGCACCCAGCCACACCCTGTGCAGAGTTTGGTGCTCTTGTCGTGCCCATCCTTGTTTAGGCACGCCCCCTGTCGCTGCAGTACCTGGCAGGGCAGGTTGGTGTGCGTAGCGTCGCAGTAGGGGGGGTCTGCGGAGTATTTACAGGCGCAGAGAGCGTAGAGTCGCTGGGGCTGGGGGGGGACCTGCCAACGCAGGGGGGTGATACCGGTTCCCTTGTGAGAACCTGGAATGACAATTTTGACCAGGTAGTTATAAGAAGGCTACAATAGACTAAAATGTAAAGCAGGCAATTTTAACTGAAGGGGGGGGGGGCACCATTTAGCTTCAGGAGGCCGCAGGAAAGAATAAAAATTGACCAAATAGATAACATGCCTGGGGAGTTCAAGAGAGTACATTTTGCATCTAGCGGACCAACTCCCCCGACATGTTATCTCTCTTTATTTGGCCATTTTCTACTTTTTCCAGCCGCCTCCGGAGCCTGGTAGAGGCTAGGTGTCATTTACAACTAGTGGTTGCTTGGCTGTACCATTTACATGTGGAGGGGTGTTTGGGATGTACCATCGCACCAGGGCTGCTTCTTGCTGAGTCCACAGCGGCACCACAGTTTGACCTTTCCAGGCTCAAGGTCAAACACGTTGCAGGGGCCATACTGGTGTAAACAAACAAAAAAAGTACAAGCAGCCATCAGATCAGTACAAACACCCAAATAACAACATATAAAAGACAGTTACACACAAGATACTCAGACAGGTCAAATGTCATTACCATGGCAACGGCCGGGTACAGCTGCTTGTCAGCGGGAGGCTGTGTTGCCATGGCAACAGCCTGTGCCTCCTCCGGGTCGGCCGAGGTCGTGTCAGTCATTGTGTGGTTTCCATGACGACAGTAGATTCTGGCTGGACCTCAGAATTTTCTGGGCGTCGAGCCAGAAACGGGTCCTGTTCTATGAACTATTATGAGGTAAGGAGACTGTTATTGAGTAATTTCCAAGCAGATCCTAGATAGGGTGGCAAAAGACAAACCAAATTGCCCAGGCAGTACTAGTATCCATTTTTGGACCCTCTCTGGCAAATGGATCCTGCCTGGCCAATTTGATACTTTCTTTTGCCACCCTAGGATCTGCTTGGAGGTTTATATGACTTATATGTTGTGTGTGCATCTGAGACGAATTAAGATGCCAGCTGTCATGCATGCTCTTTTAATTGACATGTAAAACATTAACTTCATGACTTTAGGAAATGGAACTAAACAAAATCTAAACATTTCCATCTTTGAGACTCTCCGTTGTGCTTTTATAACGTTTGTCAGGTCTGTGAACACCATATAACGTTACATGTACTTCTCGCCCCCCTCCCACAGTTCCACACATTTCGCATTCGCTAATCTCAGAGGCCTAAATTCCGCCCACTTTTCTATTCTGGTCCTTCCGGACCTATATCCCCCTCCCCATATAAGTTACCTTCACGCCCCAAGAACTCGGAGACAAACGCGTTACTGATATGTATCAACAAAGAGGCTACAACCTCAGTGTTAGGAACAGAAACAACGTTTTACACATGTAACACACTCTGTGTCCTACCAAGGACAGTGCAGAAGCGACTTCTAACGGAGCCTACGCAAACTGCAGTCTGGTGAGCGCTAAATCATATATCACGCCTGCGCTGCCGTTATATTTTGTTCCACGATGCCGTTGGAGATCTTATATCTACGGACCAGCAATAATAGTTTTTCAGTTTCTGGTGCTTCTCCACCTTTTTCCAAGAAGGAAAGAACGCAAACCGTTCCACCAGCACGACAGGCCTGCAGTCCCAGGCTAAGTATGGCAATTCCTCATTAAACTCTCGAGAAAATCTTCCTTTATCAAGTCACAAAGTCATTTGTGACAGCTCTATGTGAAAACTTTCAGTGCACATAAGATTTTCTCAACTAAATTTCATTTCACTTCACCTACATCTAAAACTGAATTAAATGATGTAAGAAATATTACTGATATGAGACAAACCCGACAATTTTCTCAATTTCTGTCAATCTCTATCAGCTTTAGTGACGCTGGTAGCTGTAAGAATGAGGCTAAGCTGCACCCACCCACCACGTTGGCTGGGAGCGAGTCTAACTGCTTGTGACACTGATGGTTTCTACTAATTCTAGGAATGATTTCCGACTTCGAGCTACTGGATCTCGGCTACTGCCACTCCACCACATTGGCTGGTAGCGAGTCTATCTGCTACTGATCTCTCCCGTACTGTACAACAGTGATTTTTTGTTTGACAGCTGTAAGAATGAGGCTAGGTAACGCCCACCACGTTGCTTGGGAGCGAGTCTACCTGCTACTGATCTGTCCCTTGCTGTACAGCGATTATTCCGATTGAAAGCAGTAAGAGCGAGGCTAACGTAACGCCCACCACGTTGCCTGGTAGCGAGTCTAGCTACTTGTGATGCTGTCATCTGATCCGCCCTGCGCAGACGGGTTGCGCAGTGGGTAGTTGCAGGCTACAGGTGCAGCAGGTGCGAGGAATGGTGACGATATTTCACCGGTTTTCCGTCATGTTTCCGTCTTTTTCTCCGCGGTTTTCGCCGTAACGCCTTACCGAGACGCTGCCGAGGTGCCATGCGGGGACCCGGGCCCGCCCAGCGCCGCCCAGCCGGCCTGCTAGCCCCCGGTAACTGAGCGGGACCAGCCCGCTAACCCCGGACCGTTACACGGCACCTCACAGGTGCGAGCGGCGACAGGTGCGACGTTTTGCCGTCAGGAGCACCTCAGCACGACGTCAGCAGCGTCAGGTGGGCCGCCGAACGTCGCCGCAGTACGTCAGGTAACGTTACGTAAACCCGAACGCTACAGGATGACGTTTACGTTCCCGAAAGAAACGCCGACGGCCCCAAAATAGAAAAAAAAAATCTGATATATTTTATACAAAACTGACGCCTTCCTTACGGTCCACTTAAATCCAACCCCAAAATAGCAACATTTTCTAATTCCCGTAACGCTTCTGACTGTAGCAGTTTGGATGTGAAATGTAACAATCCTCGCGCCCTGCACCTTAATGGCTACATTAACATTAAATGGCTACATTGTTATGAGGGTGTAGCAGTTCAGCCATTGTTCCTGGCATGTCACCCGGGATTTTGGCGCTATTGTCGTCCTACAAATTACCTGCAGGGAAATAAACACGCTAATATCACTCCGTACTTATGTACAGGTGGGTTTATTAAGGTTAGTTCCAGGTATAACGAGATTAAGTATCTGTTTTGTGACATATCCGATGCAGTATCAGGTTTTGGGCTACTGTAGGCAAGCTGTGGGGGAGGGGAGTTCAAATTTATTCCTAGATGTTCATAAATGTTAGACTTTTAAATTTACAGTAGCTTAATTTCCTTTCATTACATCAACGGCAACAAATTTATTATGCATGAAACAAGCAGGAAATTGTTGCTTATATATATAAACCCATACAATTCTTCACATTTTTCTCACACATACATGAAATTTCACATTCATCAAATTTCATCTCTCAAATTATATTCTGCGCCATTCAAGAAGTATAATACTAGTAGCTTAAGAATCCTGAAGAGAGTTTGTGTCTGAGGGTAACAGTGAATGTTTCGGTGCGTTTGGATCGCCGATGTGCCCACAGACATTTTTATTTACCCCCTCCCCGTAAGTAAACAACGCAGCGACGATTTGTTTACTTTCCTTACCTTCCGCCAAGGGTCAAGGTCCACCCATTAACAGGTCATCTTTAACTCAGTCACGTCAGGAATGAAGCTCGTTATTAGATCATCTAAACCTCGTTAACGACTCGAGTAAAAATCTGCGGCTTTACCAACAATCAGTCCATAATGGACAGTCCGAGTACGTGGATAAACGTTGTAGAGCAGGTTACTAGACTAAGTATATTGTGTGAAATCTTTCTATAAATAGAAGTTAGAAGTTTAAACAACGCGACCGCACCTGTTTGGTGAGAAAGTGGGAGGTTTTATTTGCTGAAATCAGTCAGAAGTTAAAATCGTTAAATCTCGGACCAGAGGTTGAACAAATCTCTGTATCAAGTAATGTCATGTGTTGTACTTTTTTTTTAAAGAAACAAAAGCTGGAATCTAGGGGCTTGGAAAAAATGTTGTATTTCCTGTTTTATGTCCTAAAAAAATTAGGGTCAGTAGACTGTGCATGTAGGGATTTTCTTTTTCTCCTTTTCTAGTGAACAGATACAAATGCGATTATTTAAATGTATTACAATGCAACACTTGCAGGAGCATTATTAACTTATAGTTTCAATGTCAATATGTTGGAAAACCGATTGTACAAAGTTTGATCACTCAGATGTCAGGTCATGGAGCTAGAAAAGGTTGATCAGCTCGAAAGTTTATGTCTCTTTCAGGGGTCCACAAAAAAAGGGGCTAGGGTCGGTCGGGACCACCACAACATTTTTTTTTCTAGGCCTAGTTTCCTGTACACCTGCACTGGTGCAGGTAACTTCAGTATGATCTGCACCAGACAATGAAAAGATCTGTGTGTGTCAGGAAGGTGGATTTATGGGGTCTGATTGAAGACTGAGGCGGAACCGTCTAATTTCTGTGTTTGGCAGTTCACAGCTGGCAACAATCAGTTCAGCAAACAAACCTGCACACGATCAGTTCAGCAAACAAACCTGCACACGATAGTTTACACACCTCTTACCTGGACTTAGTGCAGGTGACATCAGAAATCCATTCAGATTGAGCACTGTGTAAGTTAAAACAACAGAAGCAGGACGAAAACTGAAGATTTCTAATGCTTAGAATATGTTTCAGAATGGAAAAAATTATATATTGGTGAGAACCACCTTCCCTTGTCAGGAAACCATAAAATGCTTGAGCTTCGTAACTCTAATTTTAACCCCCAAATGTCACGGCAGATTAGAACTTAAGCTCCATGACTTTAACCCCTCAACTGTCATGGTGGATTCCATTTTATTTCAGCAACATTTTGCATTTAAATACCGGTATGTATATCACATGTACATGTATGTATTAAGTAACATTCATACAGTCTTACTCTTAATATACAAAATAAAAAAAGCAACAGAAAAATGTTTGATGTAAGAAGAAAGGTTTACATCATTTTGGAATGAGAAAACTTAGACTAACTTCAGGGAATCAGACTAAGTTATTTGCAACTGTTGCTCATTCATGGAATCATTTCATTATATGTTTATATTTCTTGTTTTGGCCTTGTTTTATGTCTATCTAATTATTATATCTAATTATTATATATTATTATTATTATTAAGTCTCTAGATACTGGGTTTCACTTGGTACATACCAAGGTTCGTGATGGTTTCTTGTGGTGACTGTTTTTGTTGTTTGTCCTTTTGTCCCAGAATCCAAGATGGCGGCGAAGCGTGGTGATCCCATGATGCACGTGGAGACGCGTAGCCTGGGTCGGAGGTCGTTGTCGAGTAACGTACGCCGTCTGCACGACCATCTGAACGTTTCTCTGGACGAGGCCGAGCGGCAGGAGTTCGTGCAGGCGCTGAACGATTATCACTACAAACGGAACGTGTACGACCTCGTGTATAACCTCCGCATTCTCCTGGACACGCCCGAAAAACGGCAGCTTTTCTCACTGCTACGGAAGGTCTGTAGCTGTTTCTGTTTCTGTATAGCCGGACCGGGTATATTAAAGCCCTTCGGCATAACGCACCAGTAGTTAGATCACAAAGCAATCCATATCTGTATTGGTGTAGCCGGTTTAACCGCTCTTCTGTGTTATACACCAACTTCGCAGGCACGTGGCATGGTGGTAGCTAGCTATTTCACACCGAAGGACTTGTTACACTCAATCTTTGCACTTTTGATTGCAGGAGTTGTTTAAACTGTGTTTTAGTGGCAACAAGTCCTAGTCTACGATAGTTCTATGGAAATACGAGTTTTTGAACACCTCAATTCTTGGTTGATAAGATGATATTTGAAGTAATGACTGTTTCTCGTTGGCAGGTGATCCCGAAGTCAGACCAGGCCCTGTTTGACATGCACACGTCCGAAGCGTTTCTGTCGAAGGCGCCGGGGATCCACCGCGCGGCAAGCATGCCCGTCGCGTCCGGCCGCCCGCTAAGCCGGGGGAGCGTCGAACTCCTAAACCGTCCAGTCAGCACGATATCCGAACCGGAGATGGCCACCACGCGAAAACCGCCCGCCACCGCAACCGAGCCGGAACTCAAGACTAAACCTACAAGAAAACGAACGAGCCGCAGAACTTTGCGACGGACTCCTTACAAGACGTGCGTAAGATCGTGATTAAGAAACCGGCGAGTTCTAAGGAGGGGATGGGGTTCTCGATCCGCGGCGGCTGGGAGCACGGCGTCGGGATCTACGTCTCGTGCGTCGACCCGGAAAGTCTGTCGGAGAAGGAGGGCCTTCTCGTGGGCGATCAGATCTTAAGGGTCAACGACCTGAACTTTGAGAAAATGACTCACGAAGAAGCTGCCAAGGTGAGACTTAAGTTTCTAGTTGCCATGCGCAAACCCTTAATGTATTGTGCATAGCACAATTGGCAGATAAGGAACATATGCTATATGCCATATGCTCTATGATACACGTATTACTTGTAGCTTGTGCAGGCTTGTTTATTTTTCTTACTCTGTTCCAGGTGTGATACCTTTGTAACATACCACAGGTGTGCTACATGATATGATATTATCAGGTGTGTAATCCTGATTACCTGTACCAATACAGGTGTTACCTGTCCCAATACAGGTATTACAGGTGTTGTGTAGAATCCAGGTATTACCTCTGTACTGTCCCCTGCCCCCTGCATGTATTCCCCACATGTATTGTGTAGATTGTTGTGTAGATTGTTCCCTGTGCCCCCATGGCCAAACATGTATAACCTGTATATTGTGTACCTGTGTGTTGTGTAGATTGTCCCTGTGCCCCCAGCATGTATTACCTGTGTGTTGTGTGTATTGTAGGGCTGCGTACCTAAACGCAACATCAGGTACAGGTACAGGTACCGGTACAGAGGTTTAGGTACAGGTCCGGACCTGTACCTGTACCTGAACAATTTGACAAATTAACACGTGTTCTTCACGGAGGCTTACGCGGCAAAATACAGACACAACACAAAAGCAACAAAGGCCTCTGACCTGATTTGAGTTTGTTGACCAATCACAACCCTGGATCAGCCACACTCTCGCGATGTCTAGTGAGACTGAGGATCTCAAATCAATCGACGGTGTTAACGTCTTTTCCAGTGCTAATTTTTCGTCTTTGTGGTAGCATTTACCTATCTTAAGTCATATACATGGTGTAAACTAGCTATTTCGGTATATACTCGTTACTTCATGATCCGGTATTTTGGACCTGTACCGAAACGATTTTTACGGTATTGGACCGGTACAGTGTACCGGTCCGCAGCCCTAGTGTATTGTCCCCTGCCCCCAGCCTGTACATGTATTGTGCATACTGCCCCCAGCCTGCCCCTTTGCAAATGTCATCCTGACAAAGCCTGTATAAATAATAGATGTCAGGTTCCTATTGTCAGGACAGAGGAAAGGGAAATAGCTTCATTACAGGAACTGCAATTATGTTGGTTTCAATCATAGTGTATTTAGATAGCTTTTTTTAGCAATTTGAGTAAGATACCATACACATACATTGGGCAGGGCGTGAAAATTGTTTTGTGCTAAATATATAATAGATGTATTCTTTTCTAAGGGGTCAAAATTACAGTTGCTCTGAAGATCCAGGACTAAAAAAAGCCAAAGTCATAGGAAATCACATCAATTACAGGAACTGCAATTATGGTAGATAGATTAGATAGATTTTGATAACACTTTGAGTAAGATATTATACACAGTATAGATCAGTAGGGCAGGGCGCTTTGTGCTTTAGATTTCTACTGATGTAACATGTAAAATGCTGAAATACTAATAGATAATGGTGGCTTACATATAGACTATGCGATTCCAAGCAGAGGAGTCCTGAAGTAAAAAAAAGTGTGAAATATGAGTGTTTGTGGGAAGGGGGGGGGCTGATTTATTGAGTTAGAGTTTCTAAGAACAACCACCTGTTTTCAGTACATGTGTGTTTGTTTTGACCACAGCTTGGCTTTAGATGAGTGAGTGACTGTTTTGCTCTCTAGGACAAGCACAGCACAGTTTGGATAATGGCTTGAGTGAAGTTAAGAACATAGTAGGTTGTGATAGATTCTAAGGCTGTATAGTTACAGCTGTGATAATGTAGACATCTGTCCACAACAAGCCTGGTTCAGCATGTATGTACATACATGTATGTTGTGATAGTTTAGGTGACTGTACAGCCTGGTTCAGCATGTATGTACATACATGTATGTTGTGATAGTTTAGGTGACTGTACAGTTATGTATAGTTACAGCTGTGATAATGTAGACATCTGTCCACAGTTAAGATAAGATAAGATCAGCTGGGATGAAGGTTTGTTTACCTTCATGCCTGATTACCTTAAATCCACAAACATAACCTAAATATGTCAGACTGACAGGATCTACAATCTAAAGTACCAGGTATAACTACATACAACATACAGGTAATGTATTTTATTACTCCCAAAATATGTGGTCCCTCTATGGCTGTTATTTAGAACCAGGGACAGGGACTGCTTTAGAGTAGAGCTGGGCTTGTGAAAGGTACTGATTCGATGTGTAGGTATGGTACAGAGCTTATGGAAGATGTGTAGTTCCTCTTTAGCTGTTATTATTCAGCAACAGACACTGCTACAGCACTGAGCAGGCAATAGGTCATTAGGTAAATACAGTGGTACCTACATACAATCTTGCCATGGTTCTACCGTGGATGTATGTTATTCAGTACCAGGGACAGACACTGCTATAGCAGTTAGCAGTGGGACTGCAAGCTGTGGTTTGCAGACTGGTACTAAGCAGGACATACCAGTAGGTAAAAACTGTAGAACCTGTTAGCACCAAGTATTTTGAGCCCAGGTACTAGTAGGTAAATACTGTGGAAGTTATAATATAGAATTTTGTGGTGGTTCTGTAGATGTTGTTATTCAGCACCAAGGAGAGATACCACTGCAGAAGCTATTTGCTGTGGTAGAAAAACCTCTGTATGGAACGTCCCATTTGTGTTGCAGGTGTGAATTTTGGGGCTTGCCCAGATGTGCTCTTTAAGTAGGTTTTGTGCTTGTGACCAGGTTTTTTCTGGTCCTACATCAATGGACAAATTACTTAATAGATCACACATGCAATATTATATACAGGGCTGGAAATACTGGGTGCATGTACGTGTGCTGTGCACCCATTTTTTTTCTGTGGGTGCACCCAAGTACACAGCATATTCTTACATCTTAACTTATTTTTAGTGCCAGAAAAATGATAAAATCACTGTAGTACTTTCTTTAGAAATGAAACATAATTAGTTTTTGCTGACATTCTACTTATTTTATTGTATATGGTGCGCCTAAATTTTTCTTTATGCACCCATTCCCAAAAATGAATTTCGCGCCCTTACATAACATCATTATTGGCTGGTGTAGATAATAATGATTGAAGTTTTCAACTTGGCCTTGAGAAAGCCAGATGAAAATGAGTCTCAGCCTGTGTCAGAATCCACCGTGACTCGGAGAGAACCAAAATTAGAACACGGACTTGAACCCGGCAGACTGTAGCATATGCCTCCATCTGTCAGCTGTCCTCAGATGACCCCGCCAGGCTGACATGTAGATTATCCTGTGCAGAACTGGTGCCAACAAAAGTCAAATGTCTTCCCGCAATGTGGGAAATTCAATCATGTCATCGGATCTTCCATCAAGCTTTACACACGCAGGGCTCAAAATTTATCTTTGGGGAAAAGTGCACTTACTGGGTGCACCCAAACTAAAAACTTAACAAATAATATACAAATAATAATATAATTATGCACCATATAAGATGAAATAAGTAGAATGTTGCCAGCTTCAGGTGACCTTGAACCAACTTGGAATATTTTCAAGATGGCTGAAGGTCAAGTGTATTTCAGCAAAAATTTCGGATAAATGAAATCTGACTCATAAATACTTGAAAAACTCTTCTTCCCCACAACTTTTTTTTCATTTATTTGAATAAGTGATTAAGATTCACCCCTTCCTTACAAATTGGTATGATCTAAATCATGACTATCAGGCTGTTACCATGGTTACAGCATCTGACCTTGGTTTGAAGGACGCCCCCCTCCCCCATGTCATGAATAAAGCAGGAGGTTCTGTTGTGTTCCTGTCAGTCTGCATGATGTTTATTATTGTAGTACCTGCATCTGTGCAGGCATAAAGGCCCACATGTAACCTGTACATAAGGGCTGAATGGGGTCAAATGGCTGAGTACAACTGGCTAGGCTAGCACTTAATATACTATTCCTGGCATTCCTGACAAGATGTTAGGGAAAGGCGTTAAATCAGTCAATGTGACTTTTCTTACTCCACCCAGGTGTAAAATGGGTGCCTCTGGGACTCCTAAACAAACTTTTCACAGGAACATTTAAACTATGGGGATAATTTTTGTAAATTTTGAAAGTGTGCAATAATATATGGCTCTGTCTGTTATGATTTTAATTTGTAATGTTAACTCAGCAGACGATAGATAGATATCGGTAGATAGATAGATAGATAGATAGATAGATGGATAGACAACTATAGATTAGACAACAGTAGATTATATGCTCACTGCTACACATTGTCAAGTTTTCTGCAATGATGCATAATTATGCCAAGTGCACTAGTCCTTTAAATCTCTCCTCACATTTCATTTTCAACATAATCAGATGTTAATTTTTGTTATGGCCTAAATTTTTATCTTGACAGATGTAACACAGCTGAGGTATAACTTTTGTTCCTAACGTTAATAATAATATGAAAGTATCCTGCCCGAAATCTGCCCAAAAACCTTTCCATGTTTTTGTGAGTCTTTTTGCACTTCATCAGCTTAAGTTGTGAAAGGCAGTCTCTACAGTTCCTTAACTTGTAAGCGTGAGAAGTGTATAGTTCCCCAGAAGTGGTCTAGAGTTACCTACAGGCTGGTCCTGTTCCTGTTTGTTTACATTTTTCCCGTGTAGTGACCTGTGACCTGGTCAGCTGAGTGCTGTAATCCAGATTGTAACTCATTAAATCCTTTATTTGTCACATTTGGTATGTCAAGGTCAACCTGCACCCGAAGAACAATTCAAGTGCCACACCAGTGGAATTATAGACAGCCACTTTCCAACTTCAAGTGCACCAACTGTTCAAAACTCCAAACTATAAAACTGGTTAGGAGGTACCTTTTTGAGCCACTATATTTGAATTCCATGGTAAATACATTAGACAGCTCATGGATGTTAGAGGGGTGGGGTTAGAAAGCTCATGGATGTTAGAGGGGTGGGGTTAGAAAGCTCATGCATGTTAGAGGGGTGGGGTTAGAAAGCTCATGCATGTTAGAGGGGTGGGGTTAGAAAGCTCATGGATGTTAGAGGGGTGGGGTTAGACAGCTGATGGATGTTAGAGGGGTGGGGTTGTCCAAACCAGGATGTTTTGCTTCGTGTCACGCCTCTTTAGCAAATAAAGTCAGCCCAACTGGGCAGCATTCAGTCTGCAACAGTTCGAAACTAGGGCTATGATTATGACAGTTAGACTAACTGTTCATACCTTTGCCATGGACATGTGCAACCACAGCTTCAAACACAGTCTCTGGTAAGGCGAGTCGTAACATGTCACACTGTTTTTTTAACATGTCACACTGTGCTGCTCTATGTAGAGAAATGAAAGGGAGACTGTCAAGACTACAAATAAAGCTTGTTTAAAGTTAAAACTTTTGATCTGACCCAAAGATCCTCACCTACATCTTTTGACCAGTCCCTCTGGTGTTACTTAGTAGACTTGTGTTGGATAAAAAGTTTTAACTTTTAACATTTAACATTAACCAACACAGATGAACTTTCATGAGACTTAAGCTTGTTTGGTTTCCTCAAGTCCCCACATTTCTGAGTTAAACTCCAGCAGGTGGGTTTTGCTGGTCATTGTTACGGATCCCCACATTTCCTGTAATCTAATTATGTCTGACAGAGGAGATTTGGTTACCATGGTAACCTGTAACGTGACCCTGGGTATCCATGGTAACCGGTAACGTGAGCCTGCGTATCCATGGTAACCGGTAACGATAGCCTGTGTATCCATGGTAACTGGTAACGTGAGCCTGCATGTGTGTGGTTCTTGGGAAGTCTGTAATCAGGTTAGTGCAGGTTCCACGGTGTGTCAGCTGGGAAGGGGGAGGGGGAACAGGTGGGGTTTGGCAGAATTGCCCAGCCCAGTATAATACAAAACTTATGTACATGTACAGCTACTACAAGATGTTTTCATTTACCTTTGTCAACTATTGTACTTTGTTATCATGTTATCTAGTAAACAGATTTTACATGTGTGCCATATGTATTTTTGTATTTCTGGCATGCTAGGTCGGCAGATGTTATCAACACACCTACACAGCTGTTGTTGTTGTTGACTGTTGTTGTTTATTGTTTACTGTTTACAGATTTTCCGTGTAGGGCGTAAGTTTGTGCTGATGGTGCGGCAGGTTGGCAGAATACCCAAGTCGTACGTGGCTCACCAGACCTACACATGTA